ATAAGTTTGCATTTCTGCACTACTTTTCCCATGCCGGATGCTTTGGAAATGTTGCACGTGAGAGTTTTAATGAATTGCATGTTTAATGGCAATTTCCAAGCGGAATGAGCAGTTCTTCCACCTGGTAGCAATGTCGCAGCTATTCCGGACGACGCAAGAGCTAAGGCTATGTCATTTTGGGATCGAATTGCTGCCAGAATCAATCTAATTAGGAATGTTTTACCAGTTCCTCCTGGCGCATCTAAGAAGAAGATTTCTCCAACCCCGTTATTGACAGTTTGCATTATTTGATCGTAAATGCCTTTTTACTCAAGCGTTAGCTTAGGAATATTTGATTGCACATACGACAAAAGATCACCTGTGTTGTAATTTTGTTCGAGACGCAATTCTACATTGAACGAAGCAGCAGCAGATCGATTCAGTGATGGCATTTCCAATTGATTGAGAACTTTGTTCGCGATTTCTAAGCACAAATCTTCAATCATTATCAACGCTTTGTTGTAAATTTCTGCTGTGAAATCCATGTTCATATTTGAATTTTCCTTGCGTATTCGACGTAAAATATCTTCAGCCATGTGCGATTTATATTTCTCCCATAACTCTGTTGGAGATGAAGGAGAGCAGGCGGTCAGTATGATTGCAAACAATGCACGAATTTGATTTGGATGTGATGTGTTGCACGTGTCATTAATGCATACATCCCAGTGTCGGTCGTTCTCCAATAAATTCAGAGCTTGACATGCACTGCGGAAAGTGGCATGTGTAACGCCGTTGACAATTCTCAATTGCTAGAAAGACGTTGGACCAGGCACATTTACCAACAGCATGTGAAGAAAGAAGCATTCATCATGATTGGGATGCATGGTGTACAGTCTGCCTATCGTAGTTTCTTTAAATATGCCAGGTTGTCCGTCGACTCACTCTCCTCATTTGCGTCGTTCAAATGATTTTCTACTCGCATTCCATGTATAATACGTAGGCACTTCCGAATACAGCAGTGTTTTTGCAAATGCGTCATTTTGACATAACGTGAAGAAAGCAGTTAATATTGCAGCCAGTGGATTCAGGGCTATTTGTTGCACATTTGCAGCTGTGAAATAAACGCGTTGTTCATTTTCTAGATGTACTGCTATGTGAACAACAGCTGGACTTCGTTCATGTATGGGAAAAGTAAGAATTCTCCATACAGCTTCATTGCTGCTTATGTATCTTCCAGCCTGATACTGTGCGATTTCATCGATATGTATGACCGCATTCTTATCACTTCTTTCTGGTTGCACGCCAAAAACTGTCATGTTGCTGCCTTTATTCATGTACTTACAAATGTATTTGATCGATTTAACGGAGTTACAGTATTCCACGTTAATGTGCGCTTTGTATGTTTTTGATAGCAAAGGCGAATATGGAACAACCCACCGGTTATCTACTTCGATGTCACCGTTTTGCATTTGTATGGTTGCTAATTTACTGCCATCTTCTGCTGATCTTCTTCTGTATAAAGGATATCCATAGTTTCCTGTAACTGTGTTGGATACCAATGCTCGAGGATATCGCTTAGAGCATTTTCCATCTATCATGCATGGTGAATTTGGATTCAGGAAGACGGAACTTCCAATCAGGAGTATCCGCTTTCCCCAGATGACTCAGAGAAAGGTTACAGGATGGGATGGTAATAGGCCATGGTGGAATGGGCTGATCATTGGGGACAGCAATGTCATCCAATGCCAGACCAAATTCAGTCAGTAGTTCCCGGATACGAAGGCCAAACGGAGGAATAGCAGATCTGTGGATGAAGGGATCATTCTATGGGTATAAAGTGGTCTCAACAAGAAAAATTGTCAATGACAATGTTCAGTTAACCTGGAACATGACTGGCTATCAAATCCACCAGAATAGAATGGCCCCAAAAGAGGAGGTCTAAAGTGTGAAAGCAACGTCTTGGAACAGGTTCCCCTTTGCAGTTGATATGAGCCACAACCACGAAATTGTCCGAGTGAATCATTACCAAATGATCCACAAGGAGAAGAAGGAAATGAGAGCATGCCCGACACATGTCGAGCAGTTTGAGAATGTTGATATGTAGCAAACACTACTTCAGGGCCCAAGAACCCAAAATTAGATTGTTGGTGAGGGGCACCCGACGCCGACAAGGATTTGCATGAAACTGTGACGAGAAATATGATACATGGATCTTGCGGTACATTTTTGCTGAACATCTTTCGAGCCATTCTTCTCTTCCTATTTACACAGATGGTTCGAAATCGGGTGACTCTGTAGGTTCTGCCATGGTATGCTGTGGCTCGGTACTTGCTAGCAGGATCCCCTCCACAGTTCACTGCCGAGTTGTATGCTATTTCTCTTGCCCTGGATCATGTAGAAGCTATGCAGTACAGTAATTGTACTATTTACACTACTAGCTCTCTACTGGCCCTGGAATCGCTTAACGTTAGTTCTCACCCTGTTCTTGTCGATATTCAACAACGATTGGCCCACTTTTATCTATCTTCTATTTCCATCCAGTTTTTTTGGATCCCTGGCCACGTCGGTATTCACGGGAACGAGCTCGCTGACACCACAGCTAAGTCCGTCTGCTCTGGTGCCATCATGGCCGTGTCTGTCCCATACATGGACTACGGTCCTGTCTTCAAGGCGTGGCTTCATGCCAGTTGGTAGTCGACTTGGCGTGAGCAACGCCATAACAAGCTTTTCCAGATCAAACCTTCTTTTGGTCTTTGGCCGTCTTGCTTCCATAAGGATCAGACGGAGGAAGTAGTCCTGGCAAGGCTACGCATAGGTCATAGTTTTTTAACCCATCGTTTTCTTTTATCAGGTATTGACCCACTGATGTGTAGCCATTGTGACACTCAAGTCACAATAGCCCACATTTTACTATCGTGCCATCGTTACGATCGTGAGCGGCGGCACCATTTTAGAGACATGTTTTCTAAAAGTTTACCCCTGACGCTGGACAGTGTCTTTGGTAGTGGTGACACTGTCCGATTAGATTGTATTTTTAATTTTTACACTACTATAGGCTA